GGGAACAGAACCATCCTGAAGATTTACATATATGGTGACAGGAGGAGAAAAAGGAGAGCACAGAATGATGAAATCAAAGATGAGATAAACCAGAGAGATGATCAGCATAAATAAGGAGTGTCCCTTTGACTTCGCCAGGTGGTGGTTATTAGGCAGGACTGTTTCAGGAAATGGGGGGCAGGAGAAGCCAACTTGGAAGAACCATAAAGATATTGAGGGGGAAGAAAACCATGAACAGCACACACTACAATCTGGAAATAAAAGAAGGACAGTAGTTAGAAACAAAAATGAGAACTCCACACACACAAAACTATAATTCTTCAAGGCAAAAGGAAATGAGTCACAGAAGAGATTGCAGGTAAAGATAAGAGAAAAATAAAATAAAAGTGAATCAAGGATGACAGGAGTTCAGAAGGGATGGGGGGACAAGTTGCAAAGGTAGAGGCAGATAACAGAAGTGTGTCTCGGAATGAAAACGGGAGACCTTGCCAATATTGCATTTCTAAAGAAAACAGAATAAACCTCCCCAAAGTGGTAAACTTCTTTTCCTTATTTATAATAAATTTGAGAACACTGTCTCTACTGTACCTAAAAAAAACGTAAATAGTTGCAATTTAGAGTACACTGTCAGCTGAATACCTCACAAAATGCATTTAAAGCACTAGTTTTCTAGTGTAAGCTTTTAAACATTTTCTTTTCATTTCATTCCTAACATCAAAGAACATGCAGGGGGCAGAAGCAGTTGCAGTGAGCAGCTGATTTAAACATTCAATCAAGTACTACTGAGACAGCTCCCAAATCTTATCAGATGGCAAGATGCACTCTGCTGTAACACATCTGTCACTTATGAATGTCTATTTTTAACATCATGCACTTTGATATCTTTAAATTGATTATACCTTAGTTTCTTCTCCAAACTCCATCATGACAAAAATGGATAGCTGGTACATCTCAACAAGGAAAGAAGAGAAGAAGTGCCAGTTGCTGTTCCAGCATGGTTAAAATCCCCCCACGTGGCAATAAAAAAGGATCATTTGGGAACGCCCCTATCAGACTTAAAGAAAACCAATGACTTGTTTAAACTAATTTAAAACATTCTGATAGAGAATACTTTTACACAAAATGCCCTGAATTTCAATGTGAAAGATTTTTTCTGCTCTCCTGTTGCTGTTTAAAGGGAGATTTTTGGTCAAGTTCAAGAGCCCGTCAAGTTACAACAAGGGGGAAAGACAACTAATCAGCACCCTAAGCAGACAACTGGAGCCCTGCAACCAACACGCTTTAATATTCTACAGCTTGTCCTGAGCTAGGGGCCTACTGGAGGTATGTGGGCAATTCAATCTCTGATGCAGAAGTGTCTGAGGCTAGAGAGACTGATTAAGAATGATATTCCTCATCCTAGCTATACAAAGAAATAACATGCAATTGAAATTAAGCTGATAAGAGGGAATGTCATCTCATGGATTGATAACTGGTTAAGAGAGAGGAAACAAAGGGTAGGAATAAATTGTCAGTTTTCAGAATGGAGATAAATCACAAGTTGTCCCCCACAGGGGTCCATACTGGGACCAATCCTATTCAACAAATTCATAAATGATCTGGAGAATGGGGTAAACAATGAAGTCACAAAGTTTGCAGATGATACTAAGTTGCTCAAGATAGTCCAAAGCAGACTGTGAAGAACTTCAAAAGTATCTCATGAAGCTAGGTGACTGGGCAACAAAATGGCAGATGGATTTTAATGTTGATAAATGTAAAGTAATGCATATTGGAAAACAATCCCAACTATATATACAAAGAGATAGAAAAACAGCTGTTTTTGAGCAAAAACTCTGTAGTGTAGACCTAGACTTTTTTGGCTAAAACTCTTCCAAATTGAGAATGATTTCCTATTGAAAATCATCACTTTTCTCCATGATCTACCTATTTCAGCAAAACATTGTGTAGTACCTTTGCATCTCTTTTCACGCATCATGGTCCTCCCACAACAAAAACAGGTCATGTCTTGCTGGATTTCGCCAAAAAGTGAAATCTGGGGTGCCAAAACCGCTTAGAATACAATTCTCAACATTTTACACAGAAAAAATTTCCAAAGCATTCCCAATGTTTTTACAACCATTTTCCACACTGAATGTGATGTTCCATGGGTATTTTTGAAAGCTAGCAATATTTAACCCAGGCACTAATCCTGCTTTAATTTAAATCCAAGGTAGCAGGACTAGGTTTTTGCTCTGTAAACTCCCAGGTTTAATAGCTCAGGGAAATTATATGAAGTGTTTGAAAGTTCTTGACAGGGGGTATGTCTACACTACCCTCCTAGTTCGAACTAGGAGGGTAGTGTAGACATACCCACAGAGAATATCTTATTGCCTTTATGTAAATCCATGGTATGCCCATATTTTGAATACTGCATTCACATGTGGTCACCATCTCAAAAAAAGATACCGTGGCATTGAAAAGTTCAGAAAAGTGCAACAAAAATGATCAGAGGTTTGGAATGGCTGCCATGTGAGAAAAAAATGGTAAAACTGGGATTTACCAGCTTGGAAAAGAGAAGATTAAGGGATATGATAGAGGTCTATAAAATCATGACCAGTGTGGAGAAAGTAGATACGGAAAAATTATTTACTTGCTCCCATAATACAAGAACTAGAGGTCACCACCAAATGAAATTAATAGGAAGAAGATTTAAAAGGAAGAATTTCTTCACTCAATGCACTCCTTGCCATAGGCGGGGCGAAGTTAACCAGTCAACAGAAGAGCCACTGAGCCAGCTATGAAATGCCACAGCCAGGGAACACTTAAACATTACCAAATTAGAAGGCAATCCTGATGGACAGTAAGTGTGTGCAGGATAATTCTCAGAGAAAAGTTTTGATAACTTTATGGTAACAGAACATAATAATGATTCTGCCACCAGACCCCTCATGACTAGTTCCAGGCAGGATATATTGCTGTGAACTACAGGGTAATATTGTCATTTGTGCGCCAGCTGAAAAAGTATTTATGAAAGATAAGCTGAATATACATAAGCAACCTTCCCCCAGTTTACTTGTCAGCTGCCTGCCTAGGGTATGCTCTCACTAAGCAGCTGTGTAGGTATCAGTCATAACAGTTAATACACAGCTGAATTAAAGCCAGTTGGGGACAAGATGACCAAGATCTTGAAATCCTAGTCAATTTTACAATATAACTGGTTACATATATAATGTACTTCTGATTTTGAGCTATGAAAAGACTATAGTTGAGGCCACCAATGACAGGAAGTGTCAATATAAATGAAAGCCAACAAAGAAAAAGTATGACAAGTGTGAAGACAGGAAGAAACAAGGAAACGTTCAGATGCAGAGAGAGGAAGGTTAAAGAAAAAGAAAGGACCATAAAAGATTGGAAACAATAGTGATGCTAACTTTTATTGTCCTACCTATATTTTTTCCCACCAAATATTAGGTGGGTCATTACATAAGAATGGCCATACTCAGTCAGACCAATGGTCCATCCTGTCTGCCAACAATGGCCAATACCAGATGCCCCACAAGTAAGGAACACAACAGGTAATCCTTAATTGATCCCTCTCCTGTCACCCACCTCCACAGAAACAGAGGCTAGGAACACCATTTCTACCATTTCTTATGTTCTTATATCAAGGTTACCGCACTCTTTGAAAATTCTAAGGGAAAAGAACACTAAAAGCCTATTTATTCATAAAAAATAGTTCAGATAAATAAGAAGAATTACAGGCAAGGAAAAGCAACCTACTTCACATTCCCATTATGTTTACTTCCTCACATTTCCCCATTCTCTTACTATAAAGCTTTTTAAAATAACAACTTTTAAGAGGGAATGGATAACATTAGGTTGTTTTTATTATTTACTTGAAATTTAACATGAGATTTGAATTTGGTCAATAGCATGTAATCTATACATGCAGCCTTGCATTTTAAATGTATTAAGAGTTGGCAGGCTCTTCATATATTTAATAAGCAGAAGTGCAGCAGGAGGGACGGACAGCTGATTCCCAGCTCGCACCAGGTCCCCCACACTGCACACCAGCCTTTTAAATGAGCCAGTAGGCTCTTAATACATTTGAAAAGCAGAGGTGCAGCATATTTACTGCCTCCCCACCTCCCCTGACCCCCATGGAGACTGTGCTCAGGGGAACCAGCTCCCACCAGCTCCAGATCCTGCTGCCCCTCTTGCTGCCTCTGATAGCGGAGTGGGGGGCAGGAGGTGGAAGCAACTAGTCGCTTCCATCCCCCTACTCAGAACATTTTAGCATTATACTGAGAGTTCTCAATTTTTCACACTGCAGACCCCATCTTTAT